ATGTCCGTGAATATGCTAAACGAACATAAACGAACAAACATAAACAAAAAAAAAAAAAAAAAAAAAAAAACACAATTAAACATATACGAACATATAATATAGCAATATAATAAAAAATAATTGAATATAGATGAATATAAATAAACTTAAACGAATGAACATAAACGAACGTAAACAAACATCATAAACGAACGTTCACGAACATAAATGAACGAATGAGACCATTGTTCATGTTCGTTCATTTAACTAAACGAACGATAATTTTTATTCATGTTCGTTCATTTATTAAATAAACGAACTTTCCGCCGAACAGTTTACGATCGGTTCGCCGAACGTTCAGTTTGTTTACAACCCTAAACCAGAGGCATCATCACCGATAACTGCCATCAAGGAACACTTCGAAGAAGAGCTGGAGTGTTGCCGCGCTCAGACTGAGGTGAATTTTTTTGTTTCTTTATTTTCGGGATTTTCGATTCGATCACTTATCAATTAATTTCAAATATGTACACACTGTTAAGCAGGAAATACGAATTCATTCTTGAACAACTTAACCATTTCAGAAATTGTAACTATTATTACATCAGAAATTCAGAAAAATAAGTAAAGAAATAATACTTTTGTTAACGGCTTATCATCTAATGATGATTGTGTTTCGAATTTTAATATATTAAAGGTGGATTGAAAATATATACAAACCGGTGATTCTGAATGATATGATCAAATTTAGACTTTGTAATTTCTAGTTTCATAATCATTTTTTGTATGACGTTTATTTAATATTTTCTAATTACAGATTACAGAGGCCAAGGAGCCTAAGTTCAAATTACAAAATGAGGCCTTTGTAAGTTCTTTCATTTGACACATTAATTGGTATCATTTTTTTTAAAAGTATAGTGTCATAATATGCATGCAGCATGTTTGAGTTAGAGTAACCATGTACAATAAAGCTTATTTTGAGCTGTTTTATAATACCTAACACCAACTCATAAACTTAACAAGCTCAAAAATATATCGAGAATAAGTAAGTTTTTTCCTCAACTTAATTATTTATGAGTCCCAATAATCAAGTTCTTAAATATCATTTTAGTTGTTTGTATAAGTTGTCATTATTATTATTATTATTATTATTATTATTATTATTATTATTATTATTATTATTATTATTATTATTATTATTATTATGTAGAAGTTGTTTATATATACCAAGGTTCTAAATAACGTTAGGTGTGACTTTGTGACAATGTCAAGCCTCAATTTTTTTCAAACTGTGGCACACGAGTCACTCCGTTTGTAAGACATTAACTTAAGGCGATAATTTTGTATATAATTCATAATTTTATACATATTTTCTAATATATATATATATATATATATATATATATATATATATATATATATATATATATATAATTTATCAAAGCTCCGCGCTAACTCTAAACCTTAGAGTCAAATTTTTAGAACCTTGATATACACAGTTGTATATCACTACTAGAAAATGGGTGCAATAGCTACGGCACAATCCGTAGCTATTCCGTAGCTATAAGCGGATAGCTACGGAATTGCTACGGAAAATCGACTGTAGCATAATAGCCCGTGGCTAAATTATAGCTACGGATTAGCTACAAAATCGCTACGGAATAGCTACATCACATTCAACAAAACTTATAAGCATTATCAATGAATAAAGCATCTAAATTGTATACATCAAGTAATTTCAAAAAAAAAAAAAAAAAAAAAAAAAACACTAGGGTTTTACCTTTTAGGGAAGAATCGAGCTTTAGGCCGAGAGAGAGAAGAAAGCCGGCGACGGAGAAGAAACCCGACGACGGCAGCACAGCTCGGCGACGGCGACGGCAACGGTGAGATCGGAGGAGTAGCCGGCGATTGTTGGAACGAGAGGGGGGGGGGGGGGGGGGAGAAGTTTGGTTCTTTCTTTTCTCTTTTCTGGATCTGTTCAGCGAACAGAAGGGGTGAAAGGGTGGGGGAAATTTCGTGGGATATAAGGAAATAGACTGGATTTTAATTAAAAACAATAGCTACCAATTTGCTACGGACCAGCTTCGGAAGTTGCTACGGATTAGCTACGGACCGTTTTAGCGACGGTTTAGCTACCGATTAGCTACGACCTGCAAAAAAAAAAAAACGTGGGTGGGATTCGAACTCGGGTTTCCTTCGTACAATACCACAAACTTACCAACCGGCCGGGCATGCCACATCCATACTAATATGCTTGCCTATCTTATTTAAACATCTTATTATTATTATTATTATTATTATTATTATTATTATTATTTCTATTATTATTATTATTATTATTATTTCTATTATTATTATTATTATTATTATTATTATTATTATTATTATTATTTCTATTATTATTATTATTATTATTATTATTATTTCTATTATTATTATTATTATTATTATTATTATTATTATTTCTATTATTATTATTATTATTATTATTTCTATTATTATTATTATTATTATTATTATTATTATTATTATTTCTATTATTATTATTATTATTATTATTATTATTATTATTATTATTTCTATTATTATTATTATTATTATTATTATTATTATTATTATTATTATTATTATTATTATTATTATTTCCGTTAGAATTCCGTAGCTAGTTCGTAGCTAATTAGCTACGGATTAGCTACGGATAATTCTTATTTTCGACATTTCGGGCACCAAAAGTCGTTTTTTCCGCTTCGTTTTTTTCACACCTCTATTATACATGATTATCTATATTTTCTAAGACTTTTAGTTATTAATGTCATTCATAAAGTCGTGTGCCCATACGGGATCCATTACACGTTTAATGGTTTTAAACTCTAATGCTTATCATCTACGTTCACATATAAATACTCACAAAAACGTATACATACACATATACACATACATATATATCACAACTCATTCATGTCTCCAAACATAAATCCATCACAAGTTGGTGAAAAATATAGTCATTATATTGTTAAAGCATTAAACGAGTATTTGATCCCGAAGGTGCGCAAGACTTTATAAATGATATTAATAGCTAAAAGTTGGTGAAACTAGAGATAATTATGTATAATAGAGGTGTGAAAAAAACGAAGCGGAAAAAACGACGTTTGGTGCCCGAAAAACTGAAAATAAGAATTATCTGTAGCTAGTCCGTAGCTAATTCGCTACGGATTAGCTACGGATAATTCTTATTTTCAGTTTTTCGGGCACCAAACGTCGTTTTTTCCGCTTCGTTTTTTTCACACCTCTATTATACATGATTATCTCTAGTTTCACCAACTTTTAGCTATTAATATCATTCATAAAGTTGTGTGCACATATGAGATCCATTACTCGTTTAATGGTTTAACACGCTTATGATCTACGTTCACATATAAATACGCACAAACACGTATACACATACACGTACACATATACCACAACTCTTTCATGTATGTAAATATACATATACAAAAATAAATTCATCACAATTTGGTGAAAAGTATAATTACATTGTTAAAACTATGAAACGAATACTTGATCACGAAGGTCCACACGACTTTATGAATGCTATTAATATCTATAAGTTGGTGAAAGTATAGATAATGATGTATAGTAGAAGTGTAAAAAAAACGAAGTGAAAAAAACGACGTTTGGTGCCCAAAAAATAGAAAATAAAAAAAATCCGTAGCTAATCCGTAGCTAATTAGCTACGGAGTTGCTACGGATTTTATTATTTTTGATTTTCCGGGCATTAAACATCGTTTTTTTCTTTTCGTTTTTTTTCCCACCTCTATTATACACGATTATCTTTATTTTCAACAACTTATAGTCATTAATAGTGTTGATACAGTCGTTTGCACCTTCGAGATCCTTTATTCATTTAATGGTTTAATATTATATGCGTAGCTATTCCGTAGCCATTTTGTAGCTAAGTAGCTACGGAATAGCTACAGGTTAACATCCGTAACTATTCCGTAGCTATTCCGAAGCTAATTAGCTACAGAATGGCTACGGAGTGGAATCCGTAGTGATGTCGTAGCTATCCCGTAGCTAATTAGCTACGGAATACCTACGGAATTGAATCCGTAGTTATGCCGTAGCTATTCCGTAGCTATTCCGTTACTAAATTAGGGCGTCCATTTCTGTAGCTAATCCGTAGCCATTCCGTAGCTAATTAGCTACGGAATTTTTCCGTAGCTATTATCCGTAGGAAAACACCTTTTTTTCTAGTAGTGTATGCAATTGTTTGAAAATCTATTAGAGCTACCACAGTTATTGAAAAACTCATGCCAAAGTGTTTGTAATATTTACAAGATAAATGGAAAATCTTTGGATTAAATAAGTTCCAAGAATAACTTTATTTATTATTATTATTGTTTTTTTTTCTCTTTATTCTTTAGAGCTAATTACCAAATAACCTATTGAAAAAACTCATATTGTGGATCCTCTTATTGTTTCATTGCACTACTAGAAACATGGGTTTTACCGACGGAAAAATCCGTCGCTATTCCGTCGCTAAATGCTGTTTGCAATGGATCAGCGACAGATTCACTCCATAGGTAATAAAAAGGTGGCTAATTTCTCAGCTACGGTTTTAGCGACGGATTGGGTTTTTCCTTGCCACAAAGGTAGCGACAGAATATCTGTCGCTAAATGTCACTAAATGTCACTCAATGCATTCCGTCGCTGTTCTGTCGCAAATTTCCATGAACAGTTTTTTTTTTTTCCGTAGCTAATCCCTTGCAAAATTCATATACTATTTTTTTTTTCCGTTGCTGATCTATCGCAAACTTTAGACATGAATTTTTTTCATCACTAATCCCTTGCAAAATTCATACATTAAATTTTTTTCCTTCCCGTCGCTGATCCGTCGCACTTTAGACATGATTTTTTTTTCCGTAGCTAATCCCTCGCAAAATTATGCATTAAAATACTTTTTATTTTCTCACCACGAACTTGTAATATCATTTTTTTTATTATGATTCTAAAAGAAAAAAATACTACAATCATCAAATTATTATACTAAAGAACATCAAATAATGATACAACCAAGCATTACAATACCAAAATATCAAAGTTTACCAAAGTGTCATTCAAGAAACATCCAAAAACGAAACTATCCACATAACATCAAACTCCCAACGATTTAACTTCAAAATAACATTTTAGAACCAAGAAATCCAAAGTATGCAAAAGAGGTACAAACAGAAAAAAGTTTAACCTTCAAAATAACATTTTAGCTGCTATCTTCGTTTCATGTCCATCCAATCATCTTCGGTTCTCATTCCTATAAAACATTATTCAAAACAATCAAAAACATCAAATACAAAAGGTTAACAAGTCATTCAAAAACATCAAATACTAATGGTTAACATCATATTACCTTTACTTTTCAATTTCCCATCATATTTTGCAAGGCTGCATACATCTTTCCATTGCTTCATATTTTGCATCAATTTGTTGTTGTTTGGCATCTATTGCTGCAGCTTTGGCATCCATTTCCTCACGCATTTGTTGATGTTTAGCTTCCATTTCTGCAGCTTTAGCATCCATTTCGCCACGCATCTCGTTTCGTACACGTTCATAGACAACCTAAAGTACAATACCATGATTGAAAACTTTGTAAGTACAATGCCATGATAGGAAACTTTGTAAGTACAATGCCATGATAGGAAACTTTGTAAGTATAATACCATGATAGAAAACTTTGTAAGTACAATGCCATGACAGGAAACTTTGCAAGTACAATGCCATGATAGGAAACTTTGTAAGTACAATGCTATGATAGGAAATTTTTATAAAGTACAAAATTAAACGAACCTCTTGGGATGTTATTGTACTAGATGTTCCTTCCAAAAAGCTCGCTGGATCAGACACAGATCCGAATCCATATATTCTTCCTTTCTTGACTCCTCCGGAAACATCACACCATGTTTCATTATCCAAGAGGGGGTGGCAACTAGTATCATCACCAAACTTAGCCACCATAGCACTTTCATAAGCCTCCTATTATAGCAAAAAAAAATATGAAAAAATAGTAACATGAAATAAGGAATAGAATGGTTCATTCCATCCCATTAAATTCATAATACTCAAACCTTGCATAAAGTTGATTACTACTTACAAAACACTTAATTACAACTAGGCAGAGGATCAAACATTTAGTTGATTACTACTTACGAAAGATTTGTTTTCTGTCAATTAGTTGCTTTAACAAAGTCATTAACCCGAGTAGTAGGAAGTTTTGTTTCCTACAAAAGAATTGAAAATACCTTAACTTTAGCTGCCTTTGGTGTAATGTACTCTTGAGTAGACCGTTTAGTGTGCAACCTTGCATAAAGTTCAACTCCTGTAGGAGGGCGTTTAAGAATTGCTTGCTACAAAATCCATTAGTAATACATTAAAAAACAAAACAAAAACTCAACAATCTAAGTGGAAACTAACGTGAGATGCAAACATCTTACCATTCTTTTCTTATGTTGACGAATAGATATAGAACCCCCGGTATGTTTGGAAACAGAGCCATCTTCTAATTTATTTCTGTTATTTTTCCCTGATTGTGATAAACGTTTCCATTTGGATGTGGTCCACACTTCATTGATCATTTTTTCCCAATACTCCTTTTTTATCCAATTTGGGCGATAGTCCTTTAGCAAATTTAAATCACCTTCTAGTGAGGCATTCACATTTGCAGCTTTGGCAAGTTTTAAAGATGCTTCACGTGCTCTTCGCATTACGTCAGGAAATCGTTTCTTCATACAGTCTTCCCATACCTTGCGAGCAAGAACATCAGTCTCTTCGGGCCAAACATACAAACCCTACATGTAGATCACGCATACAATTATCTTTTTCACTTTATACCAATTTTTACTTTGATAAATCATAAAAATAATAAGTACAAACCTTGAAGTGTTCCCACATTGCATCACGATGTTCTTTGTCAACCTTCTTCCATGAGGTCCATGGGCCGTCAAACATCGTCTTCAGTATACATGTGATGGCTCTGATCACTGAAATCTGATCCGTAAATCTTGCAAAAAATTAAAAATTAAAAAATTAGCATTAGTATTATCATTAACAAGTAAATTCATTTTCATAAACAATTGTAAAATTAACTTTAGTACTCCTTTTCAGAATCGACTTCAATGAACTTCCTTTTTGATGGGTTACTTGGAACTTGTTCTAAGATGTTTGATCCTCTAACTGAAGAAGAAGGTTGACTTTCTGCATCATTGTATGATTGGGATGCATTTCTATCTCCAGCATCACGACCACTAATGTGACTACCACTGCGACCACCACCACGGGCTCCTCGTTGCGCCATTAGTCAAAAAATAACCCTTAAAATCAAGAATTAATAAACTATTGGTTAGAATAAGTATGTATTATAATAGAAAATTATAGAAGTAAGAGAAGGTAACATGCTATAATACACAAATAAATGAAAGTGCAATGTATATAGAAAAAGAAAACGATCATTTTAGCTAAAAAGTTATTTATAAGGTCCATTAGGTAAAATATATAGTTCCAAATACATTGTTTCGTTCTACATTTTTAGTAATTACTCATCATCAGAATTATCATCACATATGTTTTCATCTTCAATATCATCTTCGGATGAATCATCCAAGTTATCATCAACTTCTTCATCCTCTTCTCTCTCAATGTCATTGTCATTAACTTCTTCTATTTCTCCTTCAATTACATGAGAAAGGGGTCCTGCCACCTCATTTGCACCGCTACTTGTAGAAGGTAAAGTCGCTTCACTTTCTTGAAAGAATTGGTCCTCTTCATCCTCATCATCATCTTCTTCAGTAAACACATTGTCGTAGATCATATACACCCCTTGGCTTTGTCTTGACGACAGCCCACCAATCTTTCAAATCCTTCATTGCAGGATATGGTGCATAATACACTTGTTCTGCTTGTGACGCTAGGATAAACGGATCTTCATTTCTTAGCCTTGATTTGTATTTAATATCAACCAAATTATGCTTTCGATCCACACGTACCCCTTCAGTAGGGTTAAACCATGTACACTTGAACAATACTACGACACAACGCCCTATGCCTTGATATTCTACTTCCAAGACCTCATCCAACAACCCATAATAGTCACACTCAGTCTCATTGTAACAAGTACCTCTTACACATACACCACTATTGTGTGTGACCCGTCCATCACCATATTTTTCAGTATGAAACTTGTATCCATTGACAAAGTATCCTTTATAGACCTAACATGTCGTAATGGTCCTCGTGCGAGGCATTTCAAATGTTGATTGATATAATTTGATTGTTGAAAAACCTACATTGATAAATTCATTTGTTAACTAATTCACAGGGGAAACACTTTGGTAATACAAAATTTTCTCGTATCATACTCACATGATCTTTAAACCACTTAGCAAAATGTTGATCCCTAAACCTTTCAAATGCTCCATCATCCATATCAGGTTGGCTTTGGATCACATAATTTTCAAACAACCTTAAAAAATAACAAAAATTTTAGAGTTTCACGAAATCAAGGAAAAATAGATAACTTGACATACCTTAAAAAAGGTAGAACCTCAACACAATTGATCAAGATGTAATTATGAGCAATACGCATCTCATCATCTGTCACAGGCCTCCGTTGACCACTTTTTCGAATAATCTTCGAGATGGAACTTTGAAAATGCTTAATCGAGAGTCGACCATGGTATAACTAGGAATGTCTGGGGCAAAATTACGCGACTCACGATTCAACCGGGTTTCAATTGTAGGCAAAAAGTATTGTGAGCAAAAAGTCGATATTTCTCCAATCATGTAAGCCTCAACAATGGACCCCTCAACCTTTGCATGGTTTTTTATCTTTCTTTTCATTGATCCCAATTTCCTAAAAATGTTGGAAAAGACTTATTAGAAATTCCATAGGTTTTATGGTAGAATATTTTGTATGGTAAAAAATATACCTTTCATAAAGATACATCCACCTATATTGAACCGGACCACCAAGCATAGCTTCTCGAGCTAAGTGGATAACAAGATGCTCCATTGAATCAAAGAATCCAGGTGGAAATATTTTTTCCAACTTGCAAATGGTTTCAACAATAGTAGTTTGCAAGCGTTGTAAGTCATCTACGCGTAACACCCTTGAACATATTACACGAAAGAATGTACACAACTCTGTAATTGCATCCCATGTTGAGTTTGGCACCATACCTCTTAGAGAAATAGGCAACAATCTTTGAAGAAATACATGGCACTCGTGACTCTTGAATTTGTAAAAGCTATTATCATCTACATTAACGCACCCCCCAAGTTTGAGGTATCCGTCCGGGAATTTAAGTTTAATCAACCATTGGCATATTTTAGCTACTTGTTCTTTGCTCAAAGAAAACGATGCTCTCTTTTTCATATCCTTATTTCCCTTCTTCCATGTATGCCATTGCACTCGATTGCAATACATTTCTATATCTTTTCTTGCATTCATGTTGTCTTTGCTTTTTGGAGTGTCCATCACGGTGTTGAAAAGATTTTCAAACACATTTGTCTCAATGTGCATGGGATCAAGGTTGTGTCGTATTAACAACTTCCGCCAATATGGTAGCTCCCAAAAGATGCTCCTCTTAACCCAATTATGAGTAATCCGAAACCAGGCAATTTTGCATTCTTCGCTCTAAAAGGTTTGCCTTCATAAACAGTTGGAAAGTGTCGTACTTGCTCCCAAATTTGATCACCGGTTAATATTGGTGGGGGCTAGATCGCTCAACCTTATTAGCCAGAAATCCTATTTTCACC